GGAATATAAAAATTTTATCTTCCTCAAGATTGATATGATCGAAAATTCTCTCTATGTTACTGGGTTGATTACTTCGCTCACTGGGAATGGATGGAAAAGAATGATTCACAGCACGAATAGATATTGTTTTATCCACTGGAGCTTGTAATTCATGTTTGCAATCTAATTTTAAAATTTTCAAAAAAAAACCATTCACATTGAAAAAAATTTCATCATCATGAAAATCTATTACTACCTGTATCCAATAGCGCAGGAAACTGCGTTTCTCCCACGTTTATAGCAATAACAGGAGTTTTTGCTTTGGCACAATGAAAAAAACACAACCCTGTTTCAGAAGATCGTCCCTAGGATTATTGTTTATAATGTTAATTGAGAGATCAGTATATTTTGGTTCCATTCCCGCTATCGAACTGAGACAACAGCGGGAAGGGTTTAGTTTTCCTGCTCTAAACCTTCGTCAAATTCAACCACGGAAATATTTTGAGCTGTTTCTTTTTTGATTTTATGCTGATACCTAGCATCACGTGATGTTTCGTTTTCCACATATCTTTGACTATCATTTCTGGGTTGTCCTTTGACATCATGCCGATGAGAATCACCAAATTTATTATTCATACGGTACTCATCTGTACGATGAAGAGGTTTGAGGATAAAGTCTGCACGTCTGAGACCATTCAAAGCTTCCGGAATACTATCAACTGCAATTAGTCGAGAAGCAACAGCTTCTGGAAAATGCCTAGCTATTATAGCAATTGAATAATCATCTGAGTAAGACGGTTGTAAATGACGACCAGTTGCCAGCAATCTCAAAAAGTAATCAACAAAAGATCCGTCTGATGCTTTGTAACTACCAGTTTCCAATAGTGCTCTATCTTCCTTTTGTTGATTAAAACCCCAAAAATGTTCCAAAAAACCTTTTCTGGAATCTTTGAAATTAACAAAAATATCTGGTAAATGTGCTTCTGCCCAAATTTTTGCATTTTTAATGAACAATGGTTGTATCCAATAGACAAAATGATTGAAAGGTCTGTCAAATTGACTGAACACGAATTCGAGTTTTGTTATGAATTGAGTTGGATGAATGTTCTCGCCTGAGAACTCTGGTGAAGAATCTGTAACTTTCCGGAAGAAAAAATCATGATTTCTCTCCCTACAGTAATGCATTTGATTATAAGGACGGCCTGAGCATGAGCTTCAGTATAGTGACTATTTCCGAAATTATTGGAATTTGTTGCAGAATGAATATAAGTAAAATCTTCTGGGCTATTATTTGCCGTTTGAACTCTGTTCGGAGAGACTTTGCAAGTGAAGAACTCCGGATTGGGTGAGTGATGAGAGTCTAAGATTTTTTCCCCATGAGTTTCACTGATATTCAAAAATGGATTACAAGCCGCTTGGAACTGGTTTGGCTGGAAATTGGTTGGACAGCTCACTGATGTAAGATAACATTTTCCACTCCTACCTTTTTCAATATTGTGTTTACCATCCTGCTCATGCTGAAACCTGGTCCTGTCTGTCGACGCTGTTAATGAAATAGCGCTGCTTGCTCCTCGTAACACTCCATCAGTCTTCCCAGCTTTTCTGTCTATGTTTCGTGCCCAGTGATTATCCTTGCAAAATGGGTCATTCGTAGTATCATCATCTTGTAATGTTTTCCTGATAGCTCTACCCTGAAGCCGCGTGTTGTAATGATGAGTTGCTCCTTCCTTTGCTTGTTCCATCACTTTGGTGGTCCCACGTTGAGCGCCAAGTTGTAACGTAGTGGAATAGGTTAAATAGAAATGGATCCCAGGGGCGTCAATAAGAAGTCTATTCCAACTAGTTTTATTTTCTCTTATATTTCTTACGAGAACATTCACAATTCTGAAACATTTGTTTGCTGAATAATATAATATAAATTCTAAGACTCACATCACTCACCTGAAAGCAGGTAAAGAGTTTATCTCAATGAACAAACCCTGCTTCACCAGAAAGCCTTCAGCAAAGGAAATTCAAGTATGAAATATTGTGAATAAGAATATTTTGATCTGACAACAAATGAATTGTTTTCCCAACACCTAGGAAACGGTACACACGGCCTTAAGCTCATAGTGTACATAATACATAATAAACATTCTGCTACATCCTCAACATTCCGAATTTCACTTGCAAGAACCCTAGATTTCATGTGACCCCAGTTCGAGAAATCGAGTGGATTGAGATCAGATGAACGGGCGCGCCAGGAAATAGAAGCGTTTATGCCTCGTTCTATCCATATATTAGGGAAATTATCATCAAGCCATCCACGTACAACTCTTACATAATGAGGTTGTGCTCCGTCATGCATAAAGTAGATTTTCTTACGTATGTTGAGGAGGGTGTCTTTTAATATCGTTTCTTGCTCATTTTCCAAGAAGTTGAGGTACATCACACCATCCAGAGGTCCTGGGAACATGTAGTATCCAACGAATGTATCCCTTAAAGTCGCAGCCCAGACATTAACTTTGGAATTATATCAGAAATGCGCAACTTCATTAACGTGTGAAATTTTGTTAGCCCAGAAATAAGCGAATTGAAAACACCGTTTCTTGTGAAAATTGCTTCGTCTGTGAACAATATTTTGTTCAAAAACTCAAGACATCTTCGAGTTCGTTTCAGCATTTCTTCGCAAAATCTCACTCCTATTTCATTGTCTCATGGTGATAGTCCTTGTACCTGCACATAAGATAAGGGTGAAGCTGCTGCTTTCTGAGAATTCTGGCTATATTTGCTTGTGTTGTGTCTTTTCGTCTCGATAATTTTCTAGTACTTATTTCTGGATCCTATTCCACAGTTTGTGAAACTTCTTCAACTTTTACAGTTCTCGCACTTCTTGATCAGTCACCATTTCTATTTTTCGTTTCAAAACATCCTGTTTCACGAAATCTCTACACAATCCTCACAATTGTTCTCGAATTTGGAACGCGTCGAGCGGGAAATATCTCTGCATATCGTCTAACAGCAGCATTGGCATTTTCGGAGCAGTTGCCAAGCATTAAAAGCATATCTAATTGTTCAGAGAACAAATAACTACCATTTCTCAAAATCTCAGTCGAAAATCGCAGTAATAATATAACACAAAAAATTCACACGAACAAATCGACTACAACAATGTTGACTCGAATGTTGATGACATAAACGTAAAAATTAAATACAAAATCATCCCTTATGGTCAGCTGAAATATCGTTTCGTCCCCAAACACGCTTTATAACAATATCAGAAATGTGGGAGTGTAACGAAAGCATGTATTTTGACAACATAAATTCATAGACAAAATTTCAATCGGGTGGCTTCCATCGTTTAGAAGTTATGCGGAGAAATCATTTCAATTTCAACAACTTTAGAAGCACATCGTATTTTTCTCAATATGCATTTTGAGCCATATGTTTATATATCAAACTACACTTATTTCCCAATGTACTATCACATCTAGAAAGCTAGGTACACATTTTCTACTCACCCTGTATATGAACCCACGATGACGATGAAATTAATTAACGTCGATATATTCGTGAAATTTTGGTTTCGTACATCTTCGAGAATATTTTACAGTTGAGAAGATTGATTTTGATATTTTTTGTTGATTTTATTTACGCAACATTTTGATAGCTGATATAATAGCATATTTTAGCAGGCGCATGAGTCTTCACAACACCTTCAATCTTTGATGGTTATCATTGTGATCTCTTCAAACTCTCGATAAATTTTTCAGGTGGAATCATCATTTGAATATTTAGTGACGTAGCAGATTGTTTTTCATAGTTTCATGAATACTACAAATCTTGATCTTTGTATGCATTTTTGTTTTCAGAGCATTTCATCTCCAAACCCTGTGCCCTGGAGAATTTCAAAATCAATTGAACAAAAAACAGCCAGATTTGGTTCTTGCGTTTGGTGAAAATTTCACTGGAAACCAGTTCAATCAAATTGTGGCCTGGAAATCATTGCTGAGATCAGTTCAGGTGAGAACTCTACGTACATGTTATCTTTCATTCGAATAAATCTGGATGTGTGCATTTTGACTCACCTGAATCATTTTTTTTACAATTGACCCGGTCGTTACTTGATGGAAATCCATGATAAATGTAAAAACTTCACAAACGATAAAATTTCCACAAAATTTATTAAACACACGACATGTTTCGTTAACACAGTAGCTTCGTCAGGTGATATACTGGTACAATGAAATAAACTAACGTTGGCTTGCTTAACTTTTATATATCTTACCTTCCCAAACTGAAGGATTAGTTACCTGTGGACAGGTACGATAAACCTCCATTTTCGGAAATTAGGCACAATATCTACATTAAATTACGGTATACCGGATTAACTTGAAAGAGTTGATATCAAATACATATTATTGTTTACTAAGAAAACAAATTCAACAGTGGTGAACTATTAAGGTCTAATTGATCATTAAGTAAAATGTCAAAATTTTTGAGTTTGTTGATTTCTAATGATTCAAAATAATTGAGTTTCAGTCCTTTATTTTCTATATGCACATAGAAAATGAAAGACTGAAACTCAATCATTTTGAATCATTATAAATCAGCAAACTTAAAAATTTTGACATTCTACTTAATGATCAATTAGGCCTCAATAGTTCACCACTGTTGAATTTGTTTTCTTAGTAAGTAATAATATGTATTTGATATCAACTCTTTCAAGTTAATCCGGTATACCGTAATTAATTGTAGATATTGTGCCTAATTTCCGAAAATGAAGGTTTATCGTACCTGTCCACAGGTAACTAATCCTTCAGTTTGGGAAGGTGAGATATATAAAAGTTAAGCAAGCCAACGTTAGTTTAGTTCATTGTACCAGTATATCACCTGACGAAGCTACTGTGTTAGCGAAACATGTCGTGTGTTTGATAAATTTTGTGGAAATCTTATCGTTTGTGAAGTTTTTACATTCACCTGAATCTGTTATCAAGTTTACAAGATTTTCGATAAGACAGAATATTGTAAGTGAAACTTACTCGTGCTTCTGATCACAGTCTCCATAAATACCCTTCTTCAATGCCAAACCATATTTTGCTTTGAAAACATCACTTGTCAATACATATTTATTGACCATTCGAATTCCCTCCAATAATAGTTTTTGATCGTGTTCAACTGTCAGATAATTTCCAGTCACGAGAGGCTTATCCAATGGGTTACTGGAATTCAATGAAACGTGTCCCCTACTTTTCGGATTGATGACAGTTGGAGATATTCTGAAGTCATTAGGATCATCTGGATGTTCTGGATCGAAGAACTCCTGGGGACTGCCTGTTCGGCCGCATTTTGGAATAAAGCCAAGAAACATGAACAGAAGGTCTGGATCAGATGCATCTGTTTGGCTGGAATTAACTCTAGCAGTAATTGGTCGCATACCTAGAAAATAAAAACTGATAGATGGTGGCGAAGCTGATTTTATAAACTTTGAGAAGAAATGAGTCGAGTGTGAACAACATGGAGCTCATCATTCAAAACAAAGAACGTCATCCTTCTTCAAGAAGTAGCTACCTACCATGAAAATGAGAGTAACAAAATCAGATAAGAGTTCGATTGCATGAAAAAAAAAATAGTCATCGATGACTACACTATCGAATGATGCCTAATGAATTCAGGATTCCAAGGATAATTGATTTTTTCATTCATTGGTATATAGACGTCTCGATAAGACATAATTATTCACAATGAGTGAGGATAATCAGTTCTTATGAAAGCAGCTTTTTATCGTTCATCAATATTGAAAAGAAATTCAAATTCGATCATGCAGCTCAAAATTTTCATTTATCAAATCACACTCGTGTCAAACCAATATGACTTTGAAGCAGTTGTGTCAAAGTCAACTTCTGTCGAACTTTCGGAAAGCTACCCAAACTTCGATTTACCAAGGTACACTATGAGAATTTTGGCAATGATTCAAGAAGTGCAATCAATTTCAACTTCAACAATTCATCACACTTGATAATTCGACAACGTCATATTATCAGAATCAGAAAAAAACTAGGGAATCGGTATCAAGTGTAGATAAAATGTTTACTTATTAGTTTTTGACAGTTGTTCGTGTACGCGTCTTTCATTCAGTTTATTTGACACTCGTTCGTAAACGCTTCTGTCAGTTAGTTTCTTGGTTATCCAACTTTGCCAATGCCTCTTATGTTCACTCCAAATGAGTACCTTGATACCAGTCAGAGATTATCTAATCATACCACATTCTTATATGTTGAGAACAGAATGAAAGGAGGAGAATTTTCAGAGTAAGGTGAGCATGCTCAACATGCTGCACTAGTGCGATCTGAGTGAATTAGTATTAATGAATTGGCATACAAAGAGGATCACCCTCATATTCAAATTCTAGCGATAGCTGACGAAGTTGAAATAAATGAGTCGTCTGTGCGAAAAATTATAATGATACATAGTTATAAGCCTTTGGCAATACCCATGCACAAAAGGTTCCAACCCGATGATTACACCTTTGCTTCGCCATTATTCAAGTGTTGATTGACAATAATCCAAATTAGTATCGACACACCTTGACTGGGCAGAGATATCTATGATGCATATAACATTATATCCAGGGATTGCCACAAGATAAAGTTCTACATGATCGACGATTCATGTGGTGGCATTAAGATGATGCTCCACCACATAATCATCACATTGTCACCAAATACCTCGATGAATATTTCCCAGAGAGATGGATAGGAAATCGATATTCCATTATGTGACCTGCACGTTCGCCAGATCTGATACCGTTGAATTTCTGCCTAATGGGGTATTTGAAGAGAGAGATGTATTGGACTTGACCAATTGATTCATAAAACTTACAAGAGGAGAGTGTAAATACACGCTTGAACCACAGTAATGGCGGAAATCAGATGGAACTCTTGTATACAAGGAAACTGATATGGCGAGTTGAAAAATGTATGAATGACTTTGGTGAACATTTTGAGTAGCTGTTATAATTTTTGTTCACAATTGATTGTTCGTTATACAGTAATACATTATTGTTACAATCTCTTATTTTGTCAATTGGATATCGGTCGAATTATCAAGTTTCATACATCGTTGAAGTTAGAATTGTTTGCACTCCACGAATGGAAGTGTATATATAAGGTGTAACATGAACTTTCGTAGGAAGTGATTTCTCAGAGGTATTTTGACGAAAGTTGACTACTACACAATGGCATTTGAATTTAACGAAAGCGTATTTTGGAAAAAAAATAGGGCAGCATGATTGAAATATTTGCTGTATAAAAAGTAAGACCCTAGATATAACTATTAGTCATTTGTGTATTACTATCAATTCCTGTCCTGTGTAGTCCAATCACGGATCTGTGATGAGAGGTCAATAAAAGTATCAAATTGCTTGATTACCTCGATTGGGTATGAATGTTTTGAAAAAGAACATTTTCAGATATATTATGAACATAACAAAAAGTATACATGAGGAGAGATACATTGAAAAAGCGCATCATCTATCTGGTGAAAATATCAAATCTTTCTCGGTATATACAACAGAAAACAACTCACTTCCTGGCCGTATGCCACGATCAGAGTTTGTACGAGTATACGTTTTCTATACATGTTTGTATGTATCAATGAATTGGTATCCATATTCTAATTTAATTTTTCATCATAATAATTCATCTGATTTGAAAGAGGATGTCGATTTCCAATTTCAAAAGATTCGAATTAACAAATTATCCTCATCTTGGATGTTCAATGAAAGTTATTCGATGATCGACGAAGCGAATAGCCAGAAAAGTAGTTTTTTCAGTCGCATACTCCGAATGATATTATGTACATAAATATTCTTCATCGAGAGACGATTCAAATTTTCAATTCAGAAGATATAATTCTCAAATCATCATTGTGTGTTTAAGAGATATATGTTTCAATTTTCGTTGTGTTCCATAACCCGAAAAGTAGTTCCTCATGTTAGATAGATAGATAGTTTATTTGACTAAATCATATTCATATGCATATTCATAGCAGGTCATTTGTGTCTCAGAAAAAATTTTGAAAACAATAGAATGAAATTTTGAAAATGATGAAACATCACCATTACACAAGAACAAACATACAAAGGTTGATACATAATAAATATTCGTGAACTAATTCTAATGAACAATCGGTTAGTATGTTCTTGAAGGAGAAAGGTAGCACCTGAAATATTTTCAACGTATTCATCGATAGAATAGAAACTATTATTTGACTAATACGATTTGATTGTTCGTTTGAACTCATTCATATTCAATATTTTAACTTGATGTGGCAGTGCATTATGAAGATTGGAATCTGAAGAATTTTCTTGTGAAACAGAGAGCTTATATCTAGGGATTCTGATATTATCAGAATTCCTAGCGTTATGATGGTGGACAACAGCCTATATAGTGAGATTGGACGATATTTTATGGATTTCAAGAAGTGAATTGTGAATATATAAAGACGGAATAGTCATAATTTTGAATTTGATGAATAATGGTCTACAGGTATCTCTTCATCCTACATTACCTAATATTCCTATCGCATTTTTTTTGGGAATAAAAATAGCACTTGCAGCTGAAGAAGAATCCCACAGTATAATTGCGTAGCCTATATGAGACTGGAAAAAGTGAATAATACACTGTGCCTAATGTCTCAGAATTTTAAACATGTCTGAGCTGACGTAAAAGAAACAATGCACTCGACAATTTATGCTGCAAACGTTTTATATGGAAATTTCATTTCAATCCCTGATCCAAGGTGACACCGAGTAATTTCACCTATCGTTTCTCTTTACCATGCTGACAAGTACGAAAGAAAAACCTCTGAGACTTGTTATTATTGAGTTTTAGATTGTGAGCTCTGAACCATGTCTCAATATTTCCTTCAATTTCTTTAGACTGATCTAATTAACTATGGTAGTCTGGACTCGAACATATAAATGACGTTTCGTCAGCAAAAAGGACACATTCAAAAGGGGTCATGAAACTGCTTTGCTCACTGACATGAATGATGAATACAAGTGGCCCCAAGACAGAGCCTTGAGGCACACCATGATTCATTTCCTCAAGATCGGATGTTTCATTATTGAAATGAACAGTCTGAATCCTATTTCTCAGATGAGATTCAAAAAGAGAAAGTGCAATTCCTTTGATGCCATAAAAATGTATATTTTTCAGTAGTATATCATGAGCGACACAGTCGAAGGACTTCGACAGGTCACACAACGTGATAGCTATATGATTTCACTGCTCAAGGCCCTCGACTATGCCACTCACTACATCCATTACTGCCGCTGTGGTTGAACGACCAGCCCTGGAACGAAATTGTGAATCACAAAAATAATTGCTTATTCCAGAATATTCTGTTAACCTCTGTTTCAAAATGTTTTCGACAATTTTGAAGATTACACAAATGATGGATATCGGACGATGATTTTCAATTCGTGATACATCTTCTTTTTTGAATAAGGGAATTACTTTCGAGAATTTAAAAATATCAGGGAGAGTTCTTGTACTGAAGATTAGATTGATCAATTGGGTCAAAGGTTTCAAAATTATTTCTGATGTTTCTTTGATGATTCTACTATTCAGGTCATGAACATCAACACATGAAGATTTCTTTATGATTCCATGGTATCCATAACTTCATGTTGAGCATCCGGGAGGAGAAAAAAAGAAGCAGAACGTGCTGGAAGAATCTTTGAGAAATTTAGTATCTCATTTTCGAGAATCCCAGGTAGAGATTTGATGATAGATTCGGCCACTTGAACAAAATGATCATTGAAATCGTTCGACGTGATGTTTTCATTATTGACGGGAATAGATTCAGTCTTGTTTCATTCAGAATTGAAAATTTGTCAGCTTGCTTTAGACTTGTTATCAGCAGAGCGAATGCACTCATTATATGCAGATTCCTCAGCAGTTTTTATGTTTTTTTCATACTCCTTTCCCAGAAATTTATATATTCTTATATCCTCAGGATTCGCACTAACATCAGAAATCAGTTTGACATTTGACAAAACCAATCTTCGAGCTTTCAGCTCGTCACTGAACCAATGTATCAGCTGCTTTTTGTGTGAAGACTTCTTTCGCAATGGAAATATATTTTTTACCAAATATTGGTAATAATTGACCATGAAATTTACAAGATAATTGGCGTCCTGTTCATTATTTGTGGAAATCTCCCAGTTTACATCACACAGTGCATTTTTCATTTCCTGTAACCCAGAGGTTGTGATAGCTTTCTCTCATGAAGAAATATTTCCAGGAATGAGTTTTTTGTTTAGGATTGCATATTGCCCAAAATGATCGGTTGAACATGGTTCCAAAACACCAGTTTTGATCAAGTCGGTGTCAAAGTTCTTTAGTATGTTATCAATACAGCTAGAGTTTCCT